AATAGTTGAAAATACATATAAAAATATTAATTATATACAAAATTGCCGTCTTAAGTCACGCCTTACAAACGACGTGATTCACCAAGGCTTTGAAAAACATGAGGCTTGACATTGCCGTCAAGTCACGTCTTACGTTATTTAGAACATTTGTCATTTCCAATGTTGTGAGGCATGGGCTTGAATGCAATGTCAAAGTTAAATCATGGTAAGCCTTGGCGAGTCATGACGTTTTTCAAGACGTGACTATTTTATATTAATTAATAAAGATAAATCATATAATTATTGGATTTTATCAAATATATCAAGTTTTTAGAAGTGTTATATTAATATTTAATATAAAAAGTTAACAAAAACTCAATTATTTTAGGACCGATCAGAAAAAAAAATCCGCACTTTGAAAAGAATTTACGCCATAACGTGATAAGGCACGCCTTGACACGTAATTTGGGTGTCAAGTTTAATAAACTCGTCTCGCGTCATGACACGTTTTTTAGAATCGTGGTCATTTCTCGCAAAAACATAGAATTTTGTTATATATGAAAATTAAAAACTAATATAAATGTTTTTCTGAACATAAAATTGAAATATATGAGTTTTTTCAAATATATATAATTCGTTATGTTTTTCTATATTTTTTTCATAATAATAATAATACTTATAGTTAGTTTGGAAATGTGAAATAACTAAATATTAAAAAAAATTAAAATAATAATAATTTTAAAAATTATATTCGTGAATTAGTTAATCCTTTGTTCGAAGCAAAAACGAGTTGTATGTAGACTATATAGGCCAGGAATTGGACTTTCAACACAAGCCACGACGAATTGGGCTTTCGACCCAAGCGCTTTATATCTCTTAATTCTTAAACCATGTTTTAGTGTTCTTTAAGCTATAACATATTTTTAATAATTTTTTTGACTTCCATTGACTAAGTATTTATAAAAATTTATGTCTTAATAATTTTTTTACTATAAGTTATAAAACATTTTTACAAATCAAATATATATAAATAAATCATTAATACTTGCTAAACCTTTGAACACACGAATTAAGGAATGTTGTTAAGAAATTTAATTAGAAGGAAAATGACAATTTTAAAAATATGAAATTCATGTATGTAAATTAATTTACATTTCCTAAACTAGACACCGTAATTAATTAATTTACATCAATAGTATAAATATACAATATAAATAAAAGGTCTACACATAAATATTTTATTTAAAAATGGTAGTTGTTTTTATTATTTAATAACTAACAATAAAATCTAATAGTTATTTCTTCGTAAAAAAAATTATTTGTCAAAAAAGGGTTATATATATATATATATATATATATATATATATATATATATATATATATGTGGATGTATTTTCTAACAATTTGTCAATCTAACCAAATAAGTAACATTAAATGGAAAATTGCATTTAACTAATAATTGTAAAAAAAAATTAAGAAATTACAATACCTTTAAAACATATATTGATATTTGGAGAAACAATCTTAATACTCGAAGTTGCTTCAACAAATCATTCAAAGAGCAATCTTTATATATGTGCATGATCATTTTGGAGAAGTCTTTTCCAGGAGGGAGACAAGTTTGTGGTAATTACCTTTACCTGGAAGATCCCCCGATAAAGAGATGAAAAGTGTGTTCATCTTGTTACCGAAGACCCGAAGTTCATGCACTTGTTCTAAGAGTGGTCTTTCTTCGACCGTTTAAAACTCTAATTATTTAGACACAAGATATTTGTTAGTACCTTCCTCACGTGATTTGTACTTGAGCTCTAAGGTTTTTTGGAGCTGTCTAGGATCTAGGAGTGGTGCATATAGATCATAGAGGTGGTTAGACAAGGAATTCTTGATGTAACCAATACATAAGTTCTTAGACTCTCAATATAGAGCCCTTATTTTTCCAAGTCAGAAATTGTTTTCCGATCTAGAGCCTCTCCTATTTCAGTGATCGTATTGACTGAAATTGGAGCAATTTAGGGTTTAGAACAAGACCAAACTAAAGCACAACAAGTAGAAACTTGAACTTGTCAGGCCAACGGGTGTAGTTTTGACTTTCAAAAATGGTCAAGTTTGACATATTCTTGATTCATCAGTCTAAAATTTATTGAAGAAATTCCAAAGACTATTTTGTCTGAAAATTAAGCACAGTATAAATATTTTTAAGATTTTTGTATTTTAGACTTAATAAACAAAGAATATGATTATTAGAATTGTGAACTAATTCCAAATTGTTAGTACAATCCAAAGCAGACAACCCGATAAGTAATATTGAGAATTATATGTCAATTAGTCGCAATAATATGTCTGGTTGTTATTATTTGTTTACTAAGTTTCGTCCAAAAATCAATTCAATCATTGGTGATCAAATCTTATTATAATAAAGATATAAGGAGATTGCCTCATTGCCGAATGAATTAAGCAGATGAAATTGAAATAAAAACCAACCAGGAAGTTTTAAAATTTTAACTGTAACTACATTAAATAACTCTTGTCCTTAAAGATTTTTATGCATTCTAAAGGCTGTAATCTACGACATAGAAACCTAGGAGTTAATGATGTTATTGTTCGTTACAATAATAATGGAAGAACCGATATATGCAAAAAGATTCCTAGAAAATTGGAAGAAAAATGAATTGTGGAGGGGAAAGAAGAGTTGATAT